TGGTTTCAATATCGGCAAAATTTAAGTGTGTAGGTCGTCAAAAAGTGATTGTTTAGTGACTGACAACGGAATAGTGACCTAGCCAGAGCACCTAAATTTACATGATTTCTTCTAAGTGTGCAGGGTAAATTGACACATGAATATGTGCAAGACCAGTGCGCAAAACAGTCAGGTTCATTGAGTCATTTTGATAAGAATATGAACTGCCATCTGCCTCATCATTCACTGCCTCGTGAGAGTCTGAATGATTCAGAGGTAAACGAGTCACTGACAGCCGAGCACTCAGTCAGTAGCTCATTCAGCACGTTTATTCTTCCGTGATGGTACCCAATACTTGTTTTGAGTGACTGAGCGTACATTTTCTATGGAAAAATGACTTAATTACATGCTGTGTGAACGAAGGCAAGCGGTGTGCGTCGCCTGCTCGTGAGTTACTGAATGTTTTGTTTTTGGTACAAACGGTCTGCACAGAGTAATGGATTGAATAGTGCAGTGCTTTCACACTCAGCTTAGGCAGTCAATAATTTTAAGCTCTGGACCTAGCCACTAAACAGTGACCTCCCGCGCAAAGTCGGTTAACAAAATGAAAGCAAATCGATATTAAAGTTTGCAGTTCCTATCATAATGAAAACTCATTTTGATTTCAATTGTCGAGACAGAAATCTGATATCATATTGTGCTTTCATTATGCAGTCAAGACTTTTTAAATTAAAGCAACTTAACTTGAAGTTCTGCTGTTAATATCTTGTTTAAAATTTGATTTAAGTTCATCTGTCGTTAAACTAACGATTATTGTTCATTTGTTTTGTTTAACACATTTTAGGTCATTCGTGACAAGCCCGAGGTGACATTTGAGCTCAAATCTTTCAGTGTGATAAGCATGGATGCTAACCATTTACGACAGGCCCGTATTCAGTCAAACATTATGAATGCAAAATCAGTAATCAAATTGATTTCATTGAAAGCAGAATTAGCTTTCCATTTGATGCAACAGTGTAAAATGTTGATCTCATTTTTGCTGTGTTAACCGTTAAGTCAACCAAAATGAGATCAAATGGAGTATTCAAAATAAGTTACATCATAACAGCAAATTCTGATTTCAATTTGATCTCTAACTTTGCTCAGGCTGCTATCCTTCCTCACCCTGATATCAACCCTCCAGCGCCTATTGTCACCTAGAGGTGACACCTGTTTTGATTTGGGTGTAAAAATCGTATTTTGTAGTAGGAGAGGCATACTGAACAGGTGGGATATTCACACTTAGAAATGATTACTCGATTATTAACCAAGGCTGATAGTGTTTTGAAATTATAATTTATGAAACAGCTATTGAAATGAGGTTCAAAGTTTTACCGAACCTTCAGCTATTCGTAATAATTTCGAAGTGTGTAGTGAGCATCCTGTATTTTAGTCCTAAATTTATAATTGTTTCAAAACAAATTAATTGGTAGTAGGTTCAATAGCAATATATCATTCACCTAATTTTTGAAAACACGTATTAGTCCCAAATAGCAAGGTTAAGGTTCTGAACTATTTGGTGGATTTTTTTTAAACTTTTGGTTAAAATTTGACAGATAGAAAGTTATTGATTAACCCTGCTACCCGAGCGTGGTTATTTATGTTCGACAAGAAGTTAAATTTTGACAATCGTGGTTGAGTTCTTCTCGAAAATTGGTCGATCGGCAGCACAGGGATTTTCGAACATAGAGAATAACTTTCGAAATGTCACTTTTAACCACGACATAAATTTAACTCTGCAAATGGTTCGCACCCTAAATAGAAATGAGTTTACTTTCACGGTTCCCGTATGGACGCTGAAGGGTTAAGGTGATTCCTTGTAGAGTCCATAAATTGCCGCCATGTTGGCTATACATGCACTTCCACTTCGAATTTTCAATTACACAAATCTCGGAAATTAAATTAATGCCTCATATTTCATCTTAAATTGCTACTTAACAGTTTCAATGTGTTACGTTTCGAGGAAGCTGATATATGTACACTTAGTTTGTTTGTAGTTAGTTAGTGGTTACGAGAATAAGGATCTCACAGCGAAACACCTTAAACACAAAACCTCGAGTCGGTGTATAATGAGTCACGCCAAGAGTGAAGCCAAGTCTACCTATTGAACTGTCAAACCGGCTACCTATCGTGCAAAGTAAACAAACATTACGATGCTATGAAAGGTCCGCGAAAGGTATTACAATAAAATATAAAATATAATCGAAGAAATGATCATAATCACGCACTGCGCATTAAATTGTCATGGGATACGTTTGGTAATGATCAGTAATGAGAATTTCTACTATTTTTTGATAAGATAATTTTTTAACCAAATCACTGATATAATGATTTACTACAGCCGCTATTTTTTTCTCGCTAGAAGTCATTTGAAGTTGATGTATAAATCCTCTGTTGCCAAGTTAAAAGAAAGGGAATCTTTCGAAATCCGTGATGCGAGTTCAACTGTTTTTCTCTTGGCGTGACTCATTATACACCGACTCTAACAAAACCTAGTAGACTTTGATGGGGTTATTTAATAATAAGGTAATTAGGGGCGGGGGTCTCAGAAATATATCGACAGTGAGCATGCATAAGGGCGTATACTGCCTCTATTCGCGTAACAGTCCTATGTAGATAGGAAATCCATAGGAAATGGGACTGTTATGCGAATAGCGGCAGTATACGCGATGATCGATTCTCTTCATCGATTTTCTCTTTGCATTGCTACAGCTAAGCGAAACATTTCTCTAGAATTTGTTCATTGGAAAGTTGTAACAGGTTGTATTGGCTATCAAAAGCAACAGCAAACGCACCGAGAAACGTTAATTCTAGCGAGTTATTAACAAAAGAGAAAATCGACGAAGAGAATCGATCATCCCGTTTACGCCCTTATGCATGCTTAGGGTATGGCCAGGGTAGACGCGATTCGCGACCAATTCAAAAGAATTTTATTATTTATTATTATTCCTTGCGTGAGTCGCATCGCGTCGTGTCGCGTGCCACGTCTACCCTGGCCGCGGCTTTACCGTCGATATTACGCAAGCATGAACAAGTCATATACAAACTATACAAATATTCAATGTAAGAGATCTTACAAATGGTGGGAAGGGGAGTTTTGTTAAATATTACCAAGTTTTACAATTATGGGGGGTTTTAAAATCCCAAAAAAGTGTTTACGTACGCGGGTGATACGTCCCGCGTAAATTCCGGAATCCGCGTGAAAAAAAAAAAACCGCGTAAATTCCGAAATCCGCGTAAAAAAGACCGTGTAAAAAAAACCGCGTAAAAAGCGACTCCAGTGTACCATAAACGAACTGTATACCAGATGGGTAAACTATCCCACAAATGATTTCGATGATACCCCGAATACGTCGTTAAGCTATCTTTTACGGTTATTTTTATCAGGATACGCATCTCATAAACCACTACCGTAAACAATTAGTATAACATACAGTATTTATCCTTTGAATCGAAAAAAAAAAATCAGAAAAATTACCATGTGCTTATAGGAATTTTTAGCACTGTACAACATGTATAGAACAAATAAATTTGTGTGGCTTCTGCCAGAGGCGTTGAATAAAGACACGCTTAGAGTGAAGCAAGAAGAACCCAACGAACCGTCAAAGGCTGAACCAAACGTGCAAAGTAAATAAACATTACTGTTCGCTCAATTCACCAGAAAGGAGTATTGTTCTCAATGATTAAGTGTTTAATAATTCACTTCATTCGAGCAGTTAAAATCAGTGCTAACATTTGAAAACGGCACAAAAGCCATTTGTAAACAAATGGTTTGTGGGCCCTTTACTCACTACTTGAAGTACACTCACGCGACACAACAGCAACATCGGGTAGGGGAAATTTTCCCCTTCCTGACGATGCTGTTGGTTTGCGTGGGCGTTCTTCGGGTAGAGAGTAAAGGGCCCACAAACCATTTGTTTACAAATGGCTTTTGCGCCGTTTTCAAATGTTAGCACTGAAATGACGTTTACTACCACTCAAACTTTGAAATAAAACATTATTTTGAGATTTTTCTTCTAGGATCACGAGAAAAGTAGCCAACATTTGTGCGTTTCATAAAAAAAAATAAAAATTAGTTGGTCCAGTTTTGTGAAATCCCTGGTAGTGGTAGAAAGTCACGCCAAAACTGCTTGACAAAGTGGTCAATTATTTTCACGAAATATTTGATATCTGTTATTTATTTATTTATTTAAAAACAATTTCGAATCGGAACGTTTTATTTGGTTTTATGGTAATAAAAATGATTGCACTACATTTTTATTCAGTTCCGTTTGAGCGTTTAAATTTTCTCACCAGTATTGCGGCACTGTATGAGAAAGTCATTTGAAGCCACTCGAAGAAACATGGTTGTCAGTGACATTGCTAAAAGATCCATCAAAACCGTGCTGCTGTTTTGACAGAAATTTTCTTTGCGCGTCTCTATCAACGTCTCTGACTTCTGCCAGTTTATAGTTCCGAAGGAAACTACTAAACGCGACAACCGACAATAATGCAATTCACCTGATTCTGATTCATGGTGGTGGTGGTAGTAGTAGTAGTAGTAATAAATAGCAATAGCTATAATAGTTTATATGTGCGTCGCATTCAGCCAGCCACCGGTACCGGATTAAAGGTCGCCTTTCCACTTGCGACGTCAATCAATTTACCTAGCGTAATGATGCAACTAGAAGCAATTTTCCGCACACCTATACAATGCATTTCCAAGCTGTTTCAGTAAGATAGATGTGTGGTGATATGGCAGCATATTATATAGCTATTCCGGGCTGCATGGGAACACCTTGATCAATCACAGTGTGCAATATATGAAAATGCAGGAAAAAAGTTCACTGCCATTGTTACACCATTAAATAATATCTAATGCTTTAACCTCAAAGCAGACGGGATAAAATTTATTTATATCAATTACCCATCCCGTTCCCATCTATGCTTCATGCTTCTCCTGTCCACTTATGATCATCTACTAATAGACTATAGAGACTTACCCAGGAAAATGTATAGCCTTGGGACGCCGGTTTTCTCCTCGGCCAGCTTGAAGGCCTTCGTCCACGGCTTGGTATCATCCTTCAGCGAATTATCAATGCACGTTCGTACTTCTTCGACTTTGTTGGCCATTTTTTTCAGGTAATGTAGGAATCACACACTCGCGCGATTAGGGCTACAAACGAAGGGACGAGAAGGACCAATGTAAGAAAAATGCACAAGGGAATAATTCGCAAATTATTATTGATCGGTCGGCTACACTACAGGCGGTGACTGCGACTGAAGTTGAAATAGTGACTAACACCACTGGCGGACGGCTTTCCAAGGAAAAGTGGCTCAGTTGTCGAGATCGGGAGATCTTCTCGAACACCGAGAGAGCTCAAGCCAACGTTTTCGGCACTTGAAAATGATTATTTTTAGGACGAATTTCAAACGACAGGGAAAGTGCGAATGAAATGGAAGCGACGCACGCAGAAACTCTCGGCATTTAGCAAGTGAATCCAATAACGCTCTTCCTAACCCCCACAGGAGCAAAAAACCCTGATTTATAGAAGAAAAGTACACAACCGCACACACTACCTTCTATTTTCTTTGCACTTGCGAACGCGAGATACTAACGACAAGCGAATTGTTACTATGCTGGTGAGTCACTAAAAACGTTTCTTCAATCCGACGATGATAACGAAAATTCGTGGAACAGACGCAGGCAGACCATGCAGACGGACAGACGCAGATGCAGCAAAGCGTTTTTGCGATTTTCCAACAAAAAGCCGCCAGCTGTCGGAAAAACTGAAACTGCATGACAGTTGCGAAAACTTCAAAAATTATCACTATAGTTCGTATATTCGAAAATAGGTTGTCCGGTATACCTTCTTCCCTCACGAAAAAAAAATTCAAGTTAATCCGAGGGGCATGTAAATGCCAGAGACGTTGATAGATACGCGCAAAGAAAATTTCCGCCAAAACAGCAGCACGGTTTTTGAGCGAGGGGGACGACTCTATCTACGATGCAGGAAATATTGTGTTTTGCTGTGGCTAGCTGTGCGTACGCTGAGTAGATAGAAAGAAGATTTATCACGATTTTGAAGATTTCCTGCAAAAAGATGATGCGCGATGCAAGTAGATGCCAGAAATGAAAGAAGATTTTTCAAAGATTTATTCGCTAGTGTGAGATTTATTGAGCATCTAAAATGGAGATTTAGATGTGTCGCCCCCCTCGTTTATCACCATAGTAATGTACTCGTGCAATTTTTGTGCATCTAAAATTGCCCATAAAGACGATAATGAATAAAAACTGAAAATTTCCTTGCATTTCCAAATGGTTTCCTACCATTCCCATACATTCGAAGGGACTGGCCCTCTGGATGTGGATGATGTGAAAAACAACAAAACATGATTAATTAACTGCACTTTACATTTTCTATGGAAGATATTGTATGAGCACACACTATCCCACTCTAAACTTTGTATTTTTCCTAATATACATATAAAAATCTCAGTGATATCTAAGATACCCAAAAATACTTAAAAATACTTAAGAAATATCTAGCGTTAGTTTATTTTCTTGGTTGCTATGTCAATTTGATTTGCTTGTTTATCCAATGTCAGGCGTTTCGTGTGGATATTGGTTAATTTGTTAAACAATTCGCATTAATTTGATTAGGAGCGTGAACAGCTATAGGTGTCCATTTTCGGTGTAATCTGTTCACCATGTACCAGAAAGAATTAATTCCTTGTAACCTTTTGTTGTTGCTCGTTCGAGTTCCATCATTTGTATAACCAATCTAATAGTGAATTTTGTGTTATTCTTTTTCCGCTCTGTTCTTAGCTATGTGACTATGACAATGCCTGATAAGAACATAATTGGATGTATGAAACCATGTGACCATACTATCACTAGACACAGTATAAGTAACATAGTCAGAATTATTTAAATGAACGGATTTAGTTTTCTTTATTTTCCTAAGTATAATTTAATCAAGTAAAACATTGTGTTCAATGAGATATAATAATTGCATTTATTTTTCAAAATAAACATTATAATAGTCTATTCAAAAGAAGAGTCAAAAGGGCTAAAAGCTTCTGGTCAGAAACGAATCACAATCATTCCCATTTAACACCCGGTAGATTGACAAACTTTTCTTCCTGCATTTGCTCAGGCCTGCAACACGTTTTCACGGCTTCAGATCCTCGATACTGCAAAAACAAAATCGTAGTCAGATGATTCGCTGCTAGGTAGTTCAACGGTAATTAACATGTTTAGAAATAAGGTGAATTCCGTCCTGAGCGATGTTTCACGCGCAAGGCGAGATTTTGTGAAGATACGCGAGGGAGAGAGAGAGAGAGAGAGAGAAAAGTACTAGTTGTCTCTCCCATGTCATCGCAAATTTTGCTCCGCACGCTCATATCTGAATATAACAATACTCATCATCGCAGGATCTTAGTGCATCGAGAGGGTATATGTGAGCCAATACACATTTTGAGTTCAGTCGATCGGTAAACACCGTTAAACTTGTACTGAAAACATCATTCTTTGTAACCAGCCCTTGAAGCATTTTTATAAGCTGAATCGCTGAAAAATATAAATTAAATAATACTAACTTATACTCATAATAAAAATACTTAACACTCCTATTTGTATAATACAAGACGATCGACAACAACAAGTCAACAACAAACACATGCACTAGCAACCGGTCATCAAAAAATAAGTGTTACTTCGATGGAAATGTATAGCCATGGTTTAAAATACTTAAAAATACTTAAGAATACTTACGCGGGATTTACAAATATTTTATTGATATTAGGTATGAAGTTTAGAGTGGGATGCCCCTAGAGCACACACCTTCCCAGAGGTTGCAACTTGGATTTTAGGATGATCAGTGTCACATTACCGAAGTCGGTCAAAACCAGAGCTGGTACACACAAACAACGAAAATTGTATTTATAAAAATAGTGCATTTTCAAATTAAAAGTTTCCCAAAATTTGTAGATTCAACAGCAAAAATATTCAAAATAAAAGTTAGTTTTTTTAATTGAAAGTTTTTCTTTTACTTTTGATTCGTGGTTTTAAAAGTACATATTTTTAAAACAAAAGTTGTAAAACTGTCAAAAGTACCCCTCAGCGATGTTTTTACTGGCTGCACTGACATATCATATGCCGCCTTTTCTGCTAGTCTGGCCGCTGTGAACATGAAATCCAGCTCTGAAGTTACAACAAGAGTCAGGATTCTTCTGTAGGATACCAGACACTGAAGTTTTCTTTGTTGGATATTCCGACATTATTTGCTGCTATGTAAAGACCCACGTGAAATTGGCATTCCAAATGGTAAGTACACTATTTTCATTGTTATTGTTATTGGATTTTTAGATTATTTTTTTTATCAGGCTATGGAATCTACCAGGACGAAGTTGACACAGTTTTCGGTATAGACCTTATCAAATTCCTGTTGGAGAAGGATCAAGCCCTACTGAATAATAACGAAAAAGGAAAATTAAACTTTGATCGGGAGAAGGACGAGAACCAGCTGCCCGTAAAACCCGTCACCTGTTGGTACTTTATGAAGCTGCGGCATAAGATTTACAGATTGCGAAATGGAAAACAATATCAAGCTTGCCTTGCCAGTGTCCAGATTTTGTGTTCCTCGTATCGGCCGTCACTTGACGGGATGTGAATATGTGTCTCTCCGTGAATCTTATTGCATAACGCTTAATTATTTGTAAAGGAAATGGATAATAAATGTATTTTGATCTTTTTTTCTAATATCTAAAAACCTTAAATTAAATATTATTTAGAATTTAAAATGAATAAAGATGTTATTACGGTAAAAATGTGTGTTTTTTATTTCAAAATGTTACTTATCGTTTTAACTATATCACATTTTCAAACCAAAACTTCGTCTTGAATTGAAATGAACCTGATTTTAATTCCATCACTGCCGTGCTTTTAATTTGACAGTATCACAATTTATTTTGAAAGTTTTAACTTTTAAAAGTATAGAGCGAACAATTTTTGATTTAACAGTTGGCTGACTTTTGTTTTGAAAGTCAACCGCTTTCTACCAAAAAGAACCAATGCGAACTTTTAATTCTATTAATGTTTTTTTTTTTAAATTTTAGCAATGATTTTTCTTTGTGTGTAAATATCATGGCTATCATGTGACAAAGAGAAAACAGGTCCTCTCACTATCACGAGACCAAACGACCGATCATTCCAATGATCAAGCACTCATGAGAATAATTCTTATGCAGCTTTGACATCAACATTTCTAACTGATTTAGATGAATTTAAGCAATTTATTTATGTAATCGGTACACAGCAAAAAAAAATGTAATATCGATCAACGTAATTCAAGCTGATGTATGAAATAATGATGTAATAGCAAATAGCAGATACAATATTACATCAATGGATGTAATTTTGTTCGCAAAATCGATGTACATCGTACAATGTGATATTACACAACCGATGGATTGACCTAGTTGCAGCAGTTTCGATGTAATATTCAACAACTTTTTTTGACGTAGGACTACGTCTGTGATTTCTATATGGGGGTACACTTTGTGAAAAACAAAAATGGAACATGTAACAAAATTATGAAAGATTTTGAACGTTAATAACTCAGCTGCCTCTGGACCAATTTCAATAATTTTATCAGCAATCGATCAGAAATATTTCGACGCATCTGTTGAATTTAAGACTTTATCGTTTTTCTAAATGTCAGTATTGAAAATTGCACGAATGAAAATTATTACCGATTGCCTGCGAAAAGCGACTTCCCTTACACAGATTTCAAAGTTGAATTCCATCCGGTCTCACCAAATGGTGTTTATTCAATCACCTCGTGGTGAGTGGTGGTGTTCTTCGGTATACAACGAATGGCTCGCCGTGAGCAGCTAGCTATCAAGGCTGGCCGTTCCAACCGTGTGTGGTGGTGTCCGGTCGTCGGCATCAGCAGCAGCAGCAGCAGTGCTTTCGGCGCGTGGCGTTGAACATTGTTTTCCAGTACACAACGAAAGGTTGTCTGCAAGCAGCGAGCTGCAGCCCATATGAGCATCCATAGAAGGAGGAAGAAGCCGCACCGCTATCGATCGGAATCATTAGCTCTTCGTGAGTCGCTGTGGGCCATCTATGTCGGCATCATACAGCTTACCAGCCTCAACTGTGTTTAACACCGTAATAGTTCAGCATTACTCAACCATCTCGACAAAACGGACCACCATAAATAAAGAGTATTTTCTGGACATCTGTCAAGGTCATCAATCGGATGTCAGTTCCCATAGCAAGATAGAGCTGGAATTAGGGCATAACAGCTTTTGTAAACAATGACTTCTATCGATGATGTCTTGAAAGTCAAGGCTCGCCCACGCAAATCAACATCACCATCAGGTAGGGTAAGACTTTCCCTACCCGACAGTAATGTTGGTTTGCGTAGGCATGCCTTGAATTCCTAAAAATCGTAGAAAGAAGCCATTGTTTACAAAAACTGTTATGCCTAATTCCAGCTTTATCTAGATATGTTTAAATCTAATATACCATGTACTTCAAGGTTACAGTAGGGGTGCAATTTAAAAAAAAACAAAGTCGGTCGTGGTCTGATTTTGATCCAGAGATGATTGATTTTAATTCTTAATTCGCCAATCGATAGGAATTTTTTCTACCAATTTGTTAAAATTAAGACTTTGTCAGTTTTTCAAATTGTCACTATTGAAAGTTGCACGAATTTGCAACTGTTGCTATGAGAATTAAAATTATCACCAATTGCCTGCGAAAAGCGATTTCCCTAACACAGATTTCAAAATTGAATTCCATCCGGTCTCACCAAACGGTGTTTATTCAATCACCGTGTGGTGTGGTGAGTTGTGGTGATCTCCAGTACACAACGAAAGGCTGCCTGCAAGCAGCGAGCTGAAGCCGTCATGAGCATCCATAGAAGGAGGAAGAAGCCACACCACTATTGATCGGAATCAGTCGCTGTGGGGCATCTATGTCAAGCGCGTCATACTAAAGAGTATAAACAGAGAGAACCCCGCTCAAATTCCTATTCCTACACAAAACACAAGCTCCTGCTGCAGTTAACAAATAAGATGTATTATATAAGCCCACGTAGTCCTACGTAACCATTGCGTACAACCCCATAGGACTGTCCCTTGTAGTTTTTTGCTGTGTAGAGTGAATATATGTTTACGAATTCCTTGGTACAAGTAACTTTAATAGCAATATATAAGCTAGTAATCACGATGATCACAGCACTGTCACGTTCTGTCATGCCAAAAAATTCGATGAGATTTTGAAGAAAATCTCTGTCATCGTTTTCTCATCCAATGATAGTGACAGAAGTATCTCTGTAAATATCGCGTGAGATCTTTAATTGAAAATGACATTTGCCAGCCCTGGTCAAAACAACTTTTTTGGTACAAGATTGGCACAAGTAGTGCATTCTAAATTCGCGAATTTCATTTTAATTCCACCCTTCTGTATACTTACGGATTAGTGAAATGGGCTTCAATCTTCATTCGGAGTTTTTCCTTGTGGCCATCAAATTCGTCGTCTTGTTCCTCTGTGGACCCAAGATGCATTCGCGCTCTGATTCGCACCTTTTTATGTGCTTTTAAAACGGTTTGATACCATTTTTTCGCACAACCCAACAAACAATTTGAGCTGAATAAGCTATTTTTTTAGCTGAAGAAGCATATTTTTGCCTGAATAGGCTGTTACTCAGCTTGCAATGTTTGTTGGGAATATCCGCAAGATCCAGAATGTACAGAATCTCCCCCTCCATATGAAACTAAACTCATGTGGTCGATCCGCGTACCTCTCATACAAGCTTTTGAGAGATAGTCCACCAATCTCGCCAAAAATGGCTGCATTCTCTGCCATCTCAGGGAGATCAACTTCATAAATCAGCTGAATTTTAAATACACACTTCGGAAAATACCCAGAAAAAATACCTCGAAAATTTGTACGCGAAAAATACGTTCAATAATGAATTGAATACACTTTAATACTGAAATACACGAAACTTAATACAAAAAAAAAAAAAAATACAAGATACATCTTTTCAAGCCGGGTACATGAATCGAAAATACTCAAGTTGACAGCCCCTCGGTGTAGGGTAAATATAAAGCGGTTGTTCGAATGTGTTTTACACATGAAACCAAAAACAAAAGCAAAACAATAAATTATGACAAAATTTATACTGCCATGGAGTGAATCCCTAATAAAAATAACCATAGAAGAGAGCTTAACGACGTGTTCGGGGTATCATCCAAACCATTTGTGGAATAGTTTACCCATCCGGGATACAGTTCGTTTATGGTATTTATTCATTAGGGCTGTCATCTCTCGTCTTCGCTTTATTTTTGCAAAATGTTGCCGCGCACTTCATTTTTATTCAGTTCCGGTTGACGTTCAAATTTTCTCAACAGCATTGCGGCACTGTATAAAAGTCATTTGAAGCCGAGTTGGAGACACCCGAAGAAACATGGTTGCCAGTGACATTGCCAAAAGATCCCTCAAAAACAGGGCTAAATCATCGGCTAAATAAACAATATCTTCGTTAAATAAACAATATCTTCGTTAAATAAACTATCACGGGTCGGTGGTTCAATTACGCAAATTATTTTATCTAAAAAATTACTTACGATTTATTATTATCCAATTTCAAGCAACCGAACTTATGTGCCTTGATGCCCTTGATCCACTTCTTGCCGTTAGTTTTTTTTTAATTAATTTTGTTATGGAGATCTTTTGCACTTGGCTGTTCATCTCATATTCTTGTCGTTAGTGGAGCGCCTGAAGTTTTCGCCCATTTTGTGCGTTTTTTTGCTCACGCTAACCTAAAACTAAACAGAAATGGGTAGAAATCAATACAAGAAAAAGAAATGTCCTCTCCAGGCGGGTTCGTATTGGTGCGATTTGCGTGTGTTAGTGAGATAATTTTTTTGTTAGCTGTGAGAATTTTTTTGTTTGCTGTAAGAACTGTCATTCTAAAGTAAAAATAAACAACAAAACGAAAACAAACCCTACTCTTGCACGGTAACAGTCAAGTACCCTTTTGTGAGTAAAAGTTAACCCATTTTTGATAAAGGTGGCTTTACTCATTAACTTTTGACTTAAAAACAACCTTGTTGTATCAAATATTTTCGTAGTTAGAATAACGAATTTTTTGATACTTTTAAATTGAATTGTTAATATTTTTACTGATACAGTTTTTGTTTTTTGTGTGTACATTCTTAAAATGTGTATTTATTTTACACATTTTAAAATCTCCAAATTTACATATTTTTTGACAGCTGCATTAGAAATACTAGAAGGAGAGATGAGCGGAGATAATGTTTTGAGCCAAATTAACTGTCAAAATCTGAGCCAAAAGAACATTCCTATTAGACTTTTTTTTCGAGGATTTCTTATTCTTACTAGAATAAATTTGAGAGTATTGCAAACGAACAGAAATTCAATCACCTCTATGTTTTGTGTGCTTCTCAAATTCAACAAGTTTTTGTAATCAAAAACAATATTCTAACTCTATTGATTAATTGATCTTCGTTGGTTAATGAATGGTACCAAGAGATGTGCGAAATATTGCGATGCAATCAATTATTATTTTGCACGTAAATCGAATCAAAAATACAAGTCATTTGAAATGCTAGCTTCTAGCAAGGGTTGCAAGATAATTTAAGTACACCGAAAAAAGTTTTCATATAGTTTCCATTGGGAACGCACATGATATTTTTCCAATAACAAAATTAATGATTTTTATCTGAAATTCACATAACATTCATATGATCACATGAATTCTATGTGATAAATCACATAAATTTCATTGGAAACATAAGGTTCATGTGATTTTGTAGTGCGATTCCCAATTATGAGATTACATGAAAGTTATGTGAAATTCTAATGGATATTTTCCATTGGAAATGTGATTTATTTTTTGAGTGTACAAATCCCTGCTGCCGAATTGTATTTTGTTTTCTCCGCCTATCTCTCCCTCTGAGTATTTCTAACCCGACCAACCGTTCGTGAAACTTCTTCATCTTTATACAGAAATAAAGATTTATGTCGGCAATTCTTTACTTTAAATTTTCTATGATTACGATGTACACATTTAAAAATCTTTATTGATCGATACTTACATTTAAGATTATTTCTTTATCGGTCATATGATAGTAATCTATAAAGGTGCCAAACTAAATTTCTTTTAATTTCGATATGTCACATGGACTTTAGTATTCTTTACAAATATTCATCAATAAATATTTAAATACTGATATCATCGTAGCTTTGAACTTTGACAAAGAACAACAAAGATTGCCATCGATGCACATTTATAATCTCTTTGTTATCGATTTGCATCGCTGGTTAAAGAGAGTTCGAGACACACCAGGTGACAGATGGAAATGTTTATATTATTTATCGACATATTCGGCATTTCATCGGAAGAAGCAATCTGCCGGTAAATGAACGAGAAGACCGATGGCCGCGATGCAGCAAATGTTTACCATTGTAGTTCTTCAAGTTTACGTCTATATATTTAATAACCCGTGATAGCATGCGTGATGGGATTCTCGGCATTCGGAACCCAATGAGAAAAATTGATACCTTTTTGATCTCTATTACACCTACATGGCTGACTGGTTGATGGTTATGACAAATAAATATTGAATTCATGTATGAAAAGATTTATAGAAATTTCAATACACCACATACTTGAGTGTGTTTGCCTGTCGTTGATAAGCTCATCAACAGCAGCCGTGGACCCGAGGATTAGCAACCAACAACGAAATCAGTACACCCCAGATGGCATGGGATCGAAACTAGAAATTGTGTAGATAAAAAATCACAAATAAAATCAGCAGTTGTGTATCGATATTTTGATTTCACAACCGAAATCTCGACCGAAATAGATATTTTGATTTGGCAACACAATCGATATTTTAACATTGGTAACGATTGGTAGCAATATATTGAGAAAGATCTTTATAAACGATTCACGATTAGACTTTTAGCATCTTTACAATTATTCATGAAATGGTGACGATCGCTATCGATTTTTCTTATGACTGGCTTTGAAGATCGATGTATAGAAAATTAAAGAAAATTAATGAAATGGTTGGTCGGATAAGCTGCATATAAATATAAAAAATGTGTATTTTTATACTCATTTATGTGTTTAAGCTGGTTACCGTGTATAGACCGTTTTCAATTATTACGCGAGATTTTAAATTTGTTCCATTACCTTCTTTTGACGACTACAACTTTTTGTGTGTTGTTTGCTTTCATTCATCATCTCCATCAGACAGCTGTCACTGACTTTAAGAATCATCACAAAACAATCAGTGGAAAGATCCTCGTTCTGAATTTCCCACCATATTACAAAAATACCAATAGGTGAATCCTTTTCTAGCAGCATTTTATTTTATCATGGCGAAAGTGATGGACATTGACGGCAGTCTGCTGGAAGGGGTAAGCGTATTGGACCCATGTTTAATTCATCAATCTTCAAATTATTAACCTATCGCCTCTGTTGGCAGGGCGGTCAAATCCTTCGAATGGCCCTCTGTTTTAGCGTTCTGTGCAAGAAGCCGATCCGTGTCTTCAACATCCGTGGAGGACGAAAGAAACCCGGCCTGATGGCACAGCATATGAAAGGAATTGAACTGCTGCGGGATATTTGCACTGCCCGGGTTAGTGGCGTAGAACTCGGCTCCATGGAGATTGAGTTTCATCCGGGCGACATTGGACGGGGTAAATTCGTAGCTCATGTTCAGACGGCCGGCAGTGTGAGCTTGCTGATGCAAGCCGCACTACCGGTGTCTATTTTCGGGTCAGGAGCAATTACGTTAGATCTCAAGGGAGGAACCAACGTGGAAATGGCCCCTCAGGTTGACTTTATGACGGAAATTTTCCGACCGAATATGGAGAAGTTTGGAGTTACGTTCGATTTTGATTTGTATCGAAGAGGTTACTTCCCGAAAGGTGGAGGCCACTGTGTGGCTCACATAAAACCGGTACGCTCGCTTCGACCCGTCACCTTGGTGGAGTTTGGTGTAATAAACCGATGCTTCGGGTGGAGTTTTGTGGCCGGAGCTGTTCCGATCAAGGTATGTTGCAAGAGCAATAATCAAAAAAGGAAAACTTGTTCATTGATTCGTTGCAGGTTGCGAAGGATTTAGCCGATGGTGCCAAAAACATGTTGAAACGTATCTATCGCGATGAGATGGAAATTGAAGAGTACAGAGAGAGCGTCGATATGGCTTCCGATAATTGCTCTGGTGTAATGTGAGTATGGTAACAAATTGCACCTGTTTCGTCGATATATCCCTTGAATACTGCATTGGCAAGACTTTCGAAACTTCCGTAATTTGACAGATTCATGTACATTTATTTAAAAACGAAAAATTGTTAATATAATGAGTTCCTTTGAAATAATACGTACAAATGTTGCTCAATTGTGTCATCCCATATAGATTAGGCATCCAAACCACTACTGGCGTTGTTATGGGTGGTGCTGCGTTGGGGAGCCGTAATAAGGACGCCTTCCGAACCGGTGAGGAAGCCGCCAACGTCATCAAGTCGGCCTACAAACTGCGAGCGTGCGTTGATCGTCATGTGCAAGATATGCTGATAGTGCTGATGGCTCTGGCCGACGGTCGTAGTAGGATCAAAACCGAACCGCTCACAATGCATACGCAGACCGCTATCCACGTGGCGGAGATGATGACTAAGGTTTGTAGTTTGTGCCAGCAAGTATTCTCAAACGTCTCATTATTTTTGATTTTCCTAGGCAAAGTTTACTGTTACTGGGCAAGAGAACGAAGGCTTCTTTATAGAATGCGAAGGGATAGGATACCAAAACCACAACCAGTGAAACGGGTTTATACACATTAGAGTAAGTATATTCCAAACTTTGTCGGTTATACTCTCACGGTTATGTACATTCTATTGCGCTTTATTAGTATAATTTTCAATAGTGGTAGGAATTAAATCTCAACCACTCGTTTTTTTAAAGAGATATCACCATCCATACAGTTTTTTTTTATCATTATCAGGAGAAGGAGAATGTCACATCAAAAGAAAATTATCTTTCAGGATCGCAACAGCATTATTTAAGTCTCACAATTTATATATGTAGTTTAAAGCAGGTGAGATACCGGAAAAAAACAACCGAAAGCTGAATTGATCATGATTTAAGAAACACGAAACTAGCCATCTTTTTTAGATATTTGGAAGCTGAGAAAAGTTGGTGGGCGTTGGCCAAATTTGGATTCTTCAGATATCCTTCCACAGATGCCCAAGAAGTAACTCAGCAAAATATAACCGGTATCAGATTGCACTTTTGTTGCTACTAGCTGGAATATGTCCGGGTGCTCGCAGGCCTGTGACCGTGATAGCATAGATAACTGTCTAATGGAACAAATAGTACAAGTGGCTTGTCTCCATGAAACGCATATGGCACCATGCACAGTCCAAACATCAAATTTCGTCTGGTTCATCTTAAACCAACAAACGCAAACAGCAGCAATTATGGGCCGGGGCACGTCAATACTTGTTCATCGTGACTACATTGGAATGAGCAGATTCCACCGCGTTACTGATAACATCTGCATGCTGCGTGTGCCAATTTTCGGCAAAGAACTATTCATATTCTTAATCTATGCAAGATCGGCTGGATTAGAGCGGACCCAGATATAGCAAATCTATCCCAGTACCTTAATGGAATGAACGAGCAGCAAAGAGCGAATGTGCTCATTGTGGGGGATCTAAATGCCCACATTGGCCTCAGAGATATATTACAAGCAAATTTTGAAAATCATCGGAAGACAACTCTACCGCCCCGAGTGTAATGCGAATGGTGAAGGAGTGAAAGAGCTCCTGCGGTTCCATGGATATAAACTACACATCACATTCAGTCGATGCCCACATGGCATCGAGGATATCGTAGTTCGCTATCGACCACATCATCATGCCGGTAACCGCCAGGTTTCGACTATCAAACACACGGTGCATCGACGTGCATCGTATCACATGCTTCTTTTACTAAGTGTAACGCGTTGCCAACACGAAGAAAATCTAAGCTCATCGCACCCCCCCCCCCCCCCCCCCCCTACATATACGGTTGGTATATCTGTAGAATCTGTTAATGTTACTTAGGATCTAATGGAATGTTCAACTTGCTATATGATGTAATTTTTTTAAAAATCATTCACTACCAAGGGAACCGTAACATCGCGCGTTGACCAGCGAGCTGGACGCGAGGCTGGACGTAATTTCAGATAGCACAGAAAGAACCAAAGACTTGTTTAGATGAATTTAAGGTGATTCCTTGTAGAGTCAACAAATGGGTGATTGAAGTAGGCCGCGCTGCGAAAATGACGTGTTTTTGTTTTGCTGCGTCGTTTTTGTTCTTGTGAAAATGTTGTAAATTTACAATTTCATTTTTAAAAAGTGTTAATTTGAAAGTACAGAAGTGATGTTGAAAAGTGCATTAAGTGGAAATTTTCAAATTCCTATCCGTTGCATGTGGTGCAGACTGTTCTAACCTACGCGTAGCTACACTGAGCTAAGTTTATTTTCCTTTTCGTTCCTCTGTCCTCGATAGGAAACATCCATCTAATTCAAGACGATTATTTCAAAACTTACTAAATACGCGTCAATCAAGTATTGCACTACTGCTTGATTGAAAGTTTCAGTACATTATCAATGATATTTTTGCATCGATAATGTATTGGAGCGGGGCTTATCATGTGTGAAAATAGCTTCGGAATGCTTGCTTTCTTTTTTATCTAGTTCGTTTATTTGTAAGGCTCAGTCGCGTTAGCTTTAAGGAGCCGATAATTCATTGTTCTTTGTTTGTAACAAAATTCACTTAATTCTATGTCTAGTAGGAGTTGGGCCGAATACTCGCGGCTTACTCGAGGTTAGAGGGGTACATTGTCGAAGGATAGGAAAAGGGGAGGAGCTTGGGGTAGGGTTCGTTGTCTCATCAGAGCGATGTAGCCAGTATGAACGGTAGTGTGGTTCTAGATTCGTCTGGAGTTCGACCGGCTATGGTGACCAGTGGGCGACGATGAGACTCATCGAGACGGGGGACAAAACAAACAAAAACTAATAAAGAGATACAAAAGACAAACGAATTAAATTCTTATACTAGACATTTGCAGAAACACAAATCGACTGCATATAGCAGAGATCGCGGGTACCCAACACGTCTCTGATAGAAATATAGGGTTGTCTGCCTTGAGCCTCGAGGGTATTCAAAAGTCACTCTCTGGCGGCGTCATTATCCGTACATTGCCAAACTGCGTGATCGATGTCGTCGTAACCGTTTCCACACCGACATATGTTACTGTCCACGAGGTTTATTCTATTGAGATGCGCATCTAGCGAGTAGTGGTTGGACATAAGTCTACTCATCACGCGAATGAAGTCACGACTTAAGCCCAAGCCTTTAAACCACGCTCTCGAAGAAACATTAGGAATAATTGAATGTAACCACCGTCCAAGATTTCCATTGTCCCAATCGGTTTGCCAACTCGAAAAGGTACTCTGACGCACTAAATGGTAAAATTCATCGTGTGAAATTTGCCTGTCATAAAATTCGCCTTTGCGAGAGAGTCCGCCTTCTCATTGCCTGGGATTGAGCAATGTGAGGGAACCCATACAAAGGTAATCATATATGATCTTTCGACCAGCACACTCATCTGCTCCCTTACCTTTGAAAGGAAATAAGATGAGTGCCTACTTGGTTTCATCGACCGAATAGCCTCAATCGAACTGAGACTATCCGAGAAGATGATGTAATGGTCTGCGAGCATGTTGGAAATCATCCCCAATGCGAAGTTGATTGCTGCCAGCTCGGCAACATAAACAGAACAAGGTTCCTGAAGTTTGCGGAAGGCGCTAGAGTTTTCATTGAAGACATCGAAGCCAGTGGATCCACTGAGACGAGACCCCTCTGTAAAATATCTGTTCTCGCAATTGACGTGTTGGTACTTTTCAGTAAAAATACGTGGGATAATAATAGTTCGAAGTTGATCTGGAATCCCATGAATCACTTGTTTCATGGACAGATCATATTCAATTGAGGAACTGCGATTGGTGAAGTGAGCACGATCTGGAGTATAACAAGGAAGACACATAACCGAGGATATGTAGTGGTGGTAGATTCTCATAAATCGAGATTGTGTGTTCAGCTCAAAAATTTCTTCAAAATTTGCAATTATAAGTGTGTTCGTCACTCCGCATTTGATTAGTATTCTGAGAGAGAGCTCCCAGAAACGGTTCTGGAGGGGTGTTACTCCTGCCAGAACCTCGAGACTCATGTTATGCGTTGAGTGCATACAGCCAAGAGCAATACGCAGACAACGATATTGAATTCGTTCCAATTTTATTAGGTGAAATTTTCTTGCCGAGAGAAAGCAGAAAGAGCCGTACTCTAGAACAGAGAGAATAGTTGTTTTATAAAGCGTTATGAGGTCTCCCGGATGAGCACCCCACCATGTGCCGCAAATTGAACGGAGAATGTTGATCCTCTGTTGACATTTTTGCTTCAAATACGTAATATGGGTATTCCAAGTGCACTTCGAATCAAACCAGACCCCAAGGTACTTGAAAGACAATGATTGAGTAATGTTTCTGCCCAAAAGATTAAGTTGCATTTGGGCTGGGTACCGCTTTCGAGTAAACACTACCAGTTCAGTTTTCTGCGGCGAGAATTCGATCCCTAGATTCCTAGCCCAATAGGACAAGTTATCTAAGGAACTTTGCAATGGTCCTTGCAAGTCCACGGCATGTGGACCTCTTACGGAAACCACACCGTCATCTGCAAGTTGTCTTAGCGTGCATTGTTCTGCCAAACAGTTGTCGATATCTTTGACATAAAAGTTATAAAGAAGAGGGCTGAGACATGAAGCTTGGGGCAGGCCCATGTAGCTAATCCTGGAAGTTGTCAGTTGTCCAAGGGAAAACATTTGCTTTTCTGACAACAAATTGTACAAGAAATTATTTAAAATTCCAGAAAGTCCACATCTGTGCAGTTTGTCTGACAGAATTTCAATGGAAACTGAATCAAAAGCACCCTTAATGTCCAAGATTACTGAAGCCAATTGCTCCTTGTGTGCAAAAAATTCCTTTTCTCTTGCGGAACCCAAACTGTGTATTTGAAAGCAAGTTATTTGTTTCGACCCACTGATCGAGTCTCCGAAGGATCATTTTCTCCAACAATTTTCTAATGCACGAAAGCATAGCAATCGGACGGTATGAGTTATGGTCAGACGCTGGTTTGCCAGGTTTTCGAATGGATGGTACTTTGACCTGTCTCCATTCAGGCGGTACAATGTTGTTTTCTAGTAAAGAATTGAATAAGTCTAGCTAGCGTCTTTTAGCAATATCTGGGAGATTTTTCAGAAGATTCTAATTTACTCATATCGCTTCCCGGTGAGGAGTTGTTCGATTAAAGAAGAGCCATAGAAAATTCCAGCATTGTGAATGGTCTATCCAGAGAGCCGCCGCTCGGAGACGCTTCTCCAAGAATGTGTTGTGCTGGAACTGAGTCCGGACAGACCTTTTTTTGCGAAATCGAATATCCATCGGTTGGAGTATTCTTCACTCTCATTAGAAGATGAGCAGTTACGCATATTGCGAGCCACCCTCCACAAGGTGTTCATTGGGGTTTCTCGTGAGAGTCCCTTCGACGAAATTTCGCCAATAACCGTGTTTCTTTTCCTTGACTAATTGTTTCAGCTTTGTCTCAAGCTTTGAATATTCCTCGAAATATGTGGAAGTTTTGTGTCTACGAAAAGCTTTGAAAGCATCAGATTTTTCTACATAAAATTTTGTGCATTCTTCGTCCCATCCAGGTGTGGCTGGTCTCCTTTTGAAGGGCGCACTTGGAACTTTTCTTTTTTTGTGCTTCCAGTGAGCTTTTGTATATCAAATCGGCGAGGAATCGATATTCTTCCAATGGTGGAAGCATATCTATTGATT